ATACGATTGGCTTAAATGCATCTTCGGCAAAAACGTGTGCCTCAATTATTCATGCTCTGGCGCAGCTTTTGTGGATCCTGGTAGTGTGACGACGAGGATATAACCGACGGATGCTGTGGCGGTGGAAAGCAGCGCACGTGCTCCACATTCGAGCCCTCACCATCGCCGCCCTTCAAATATTTGTTGAGAATGGAGAAGATTTGTGAATTTAATACTTGGAAACGTCGAATACGATCCACCATTCGCTTCAGTTGCTGCAAAACAAAAGGAAGCCCTAAATTAGTTGTTTGTTTCAAATGAAAACTTTCTCAGTGACAACTTACAATTCCCTTGACATCCTCATCCTTGCCATCAACGCGTTGCACTCGTAAAATGTGATAGCAAAAGTCGAGCGCCTCAAAGCGTCGCTGCTGACCCAGCAACACGATCATGACACAACCCGCCCAGTTGAGACCCTCGCCAAAGAGCTCCTCAATTGTGTACTCTGTGCCACGTACAGGAATGCAATATACAAACTGCAATGCAGACCAGAGGCGATGAAACTCGGAGCACTCGTCCACATGGATGATGCCATTCGCTGGTGGCGGGCCACACCACACTGGATCGTCCAGGTAGCTCTTTACTCGATTGAGTATCACTTCAAATATACTCAAGCCGCAACAGAGACGCTCGCGTGTCAGTAAATCACCCTCGCGAGCTATCATGGCTTGCTGTAGATTGAATTTCAATTAGCAAAAACACCCAGGAACCAACTCGCTGCTTGCTTACCTTGGCAGTGCCTATTTTTTCCACATTCGAGACGATTTGCAGGTTGGCAAACTGTGCCTCCAGACGCTTTTGTTTGGCTTCAGGTTTCTCGTTTTCTGCAAAGAAAATTGCAGAAATTATACAGATACATTTCCAGCTGTTAGTAGAGTTTTAACGCACCTTTGCAGAAGGGTCTGGGGAAAATGTTTTGAAAGAGAGCCGCATGGAGCAGATCGCACACCTCCTCCTGGGATAAGGCCTGCTCAATCAGCAGGCAAAAGATGATGCAATTGCCAAACTCCCTGAACGACTGGAACAGCTCCGTTTTCGTGTCCGGATATTGCACAATGTCCGTAAGATGAGCCTGATAGTAGCTGAGCACGCCGGGCGATCCGTACTCGCAGCGCGGTAATTTGCAAGACTTGGGCATGGCAATCATGAGCGTTTTGGTGAACTGCAGCAGCGAGCCTTGGATCAGCGGCTTGACAATGTCCTTTAGTATTATGTCCATGACAACGGCAATGCCCTGGTAGCCAAGCAGCCGGCACATGGCATGGAAATGCGGCGAACCAACGAAACCAGTGTACTGTCCATACTGCGTGGAGTAAGCGGCATTCAGCTGCTTGGAACCCCACAGATAGTAGTGAGACATCTGTGGCGGTTTCTCACGCTGAATGGGTTGCGTCGATGACAAATTCACTTTGGTGCGAATGAACCTAAATGGGAGGGACCGTAAATATGGCATTTATGGCAGAAATAGATTGAAAAACTCACCGATTAGTGGCTGCATTATAGCAATAATTGACCAGGAAGTCATAATTCAATTCCACAAACACATGCAGCGTAATCCGACCGTATGGGGCGAGGACATTGTGATTAGCCTCCTTGACCATGCCATCGAAATTGTCCAGGGCCAAGTATTTGCTTAGCAATTTGTGACAAATACGATTGGCCTCCAACAAGCCCTCGAGCTCCTGCAATGAAAGAATTTGAATATGAGAGATAGATATGCAAATAATTAAATATTCAACCTACCACAATGCCCGTAATGTCATTGGCTTCAAAGCGACTGATGGCCAGCTCAATGCTCTTGTGCATATTGGCGTTGATGCGTTGGGTGACCAATTTGTTCAAGTCAATAGAACGGCCTGGAAAAGCAAACCCGTTAATGATTCTCATCCAAAAGAGCACTTTAACATTGTACATACCCAACAGCTGCACATGTCTTTGTTTTAACAGAGTTTCGTAGCGATTGTTGCGTGGATACGATTGGAAATTAAAGCCGAGCACCTCGCACTCAAGGCGGAAACGTTTGTCCAAGAAAATGCTGCCAGCCAATTGTTTATAGTGGGCAAAGATCTGCTCACTCAACTTGTAGACAAACTGATCGAAGCACAGGTTTACCTCGGCCTCTACCTCGTCGTAGAGGAACTGTTTGCGGAAGACGGTAAGGGCATAGTGTGCCGAATCGTTGTACAGGTCCAACGGGTACAGGACAAACCTAACCGAACAAGGAAATTATTACATATATTCCCAGTCGGAGACGCTGTTTACTTACTCCATCATAGAGGGTTCTTTTGTTTGCAGAATATGATCGGTGAGAATCCAAGGCATAGACATCTCAATGGGGAACTGTATGCGCTTCTCCATGGTTATCAAATCCTTGCACTCTTCGTTGTGCTGATGGCGCACCAAGCACTTGTTGACCTTGCGACCCATTGTCATTTCCAAATAGAACTCGCGGTACCAGAGCTGCGACAGATCGCAGCATTTCTGCAGAGTGTCGCTAAAGTTGAGCAAGTAGCTCCAGTAGAACGATGTGTTGTGGAACGTTTCGATCTGCATGAGGCAGTTGCCATCAATGTCCTTGCGCAAGGTACGCTTGCCGCCACTCTTGTCGGCTGTCAACGACTCCAGCATGGTGCGCACCATGTACAGCTGTGTGGAGGATGGTCCCACATTGAGGCGTGGCACATGGATACGAAAGCCACCATCGGGATCCTTTTTACCTTTTGCCACTGGATCGTCTGTGGGCTCGTAGCCCTTTTGCCAATCCGCGGATGTCTCTCGCACCGACATAATGATGCTCCGAATCAGATCCTTTTTGTTCTTCACTGCCTTGCGCAGTGGTTCGCGCAACGATAGCTGCACAAAGTCCTGCAGCTCGGAGTAAATATTGCGTCGAATAGCCTCACACAGCACCGTCTCGATGCGTGCCATCAGCACCTGCAGACCCTTGATCATGGCGATCACCTCGATCAGTGCAAACTTCTCCTCGGAAGTGTAATTGTATCGTGTGGCCCTTTCGTACTCCTCCGCCTCCACAGGACACTCCTTGTTCTGGTGGTGATCCGTGGGATGGAGCAGCTTCCAGGAGTACAGCTCAGTGACCACACTGGTCCATTCCGACAGCAGTTGCAGGCCGCGAAGGGCCAAGTCGGCAGTAATCCGATTCTCGGCATCCGATGGATTCTCCTTAACCGTGGTGGTCACCTCGTTGGTGTAGCGTGCCAGCTCCGATATGTACTTGACATGATCCTCGCGTATCTGCGGCAAGTGCACCATCAGATCCGCCTGGGGGCTGATGGCATTCGAGCTGGACAACGGCCACTTGCTGGAGTCAAAGTGCTTGCTCCGCTTTATATAGTTGAAGGGTGCGATTTGCATGTCCCCGAAGAGGGGCACCACCTCCAGGTTCTTGAAGATGCGATCGATGCGGTCCAGGCGAATTTTCTTCTTCTGATCCAACTTGTTGATGTTGCACGCATCACTGTCCATGAGGAATAGGCCAAAGCCCATGACCTTCACGAGCATGTGCTTCTCCTCTGGCGTCAAGTACATCTTTGTCTCGAACATGTGCACACAAATGTTGACAACATCCGATAGCAGATCCTCGTAGCCGACAATCTTTTCCAGCGTGTCTTTGACAGTGTCGCGAATTTTGTTCTGCGTGGCCAGAAACATGGAGAGATTCTGCGACTCCTGCAGTGTGTGCGAGTCGGACATCACCTTCAGGAATTGGGCTGCCCGCCTGTATGTGGAATAATCGTTCTTCACGCTCGACTTCATGTTCTTCAGCTCGTCCAGGACGGCAAACATGTTGATGAATTTCCCCAGCGTCAGCAAATATGCTTCCGACACGAAATCCTTGCGCTTTTCCGCGTGGCATAGCCGCTTCACCTCTCCCGAGAAGGCCTCGATGGCCTTGCGTTGGAAGTACATAAAGTTCAGCAGTTTGTTGACCTCTGGGGCCAGCACTTCCACTGTCTTCTCATAGATCTCCACACGATTGGGCTGCTCGTTCGACTTGGGCTGTGGTATGGCCCTCGAACAGCATCGCCAGGTGTAGAGCATGACTGCATGTTTCTGTCCCTCATCTAGCAAAACATTCTACGCGAGGGTGGGGGAAAGTGAAGTGAGTAAGCCAAGTTTTATTCGATTTCTTCCAATTTAGTGCGTCTTATCTTACCAAATTGGCATGCGTAGTCGCCTCTTCTATGTACTTGGCAATTCCTGTGACAAATCCATTGCGATCTTCAAAGTTTGTATCGAAGTTTGCTTTGTAGATAATGGAGCAGGGCTGCGCCTCTATGCATGGCTGCTCGTCGGGCAGCGACAGCTCGTCTAGCACCTCCACATTGGACAGTGCATCGGCAAGCGTAATCTTCTCCGTCATGTTGGGCTCTTTATCATAACTCTAACGGCTTGACTTGATTAAATTAAAAGTTAATAACAAGGCGGGGCAACTATAAATTTTTTTTTTCGTGCCACAAAAACACAGTGTGACCGAGGGCTTAGCGTAAAATATACCGTTTAACCCGTAGAAATATGCCAACATATACAAACATATTTATATTAAATATACCATATTATTACCAATCAGCATATAATTATATCAGAAAGGTTAATACATTTTCTACAAAAAATCAACGTAAACTTTGTGGTACGCTGTCTACGCTGTAGCTACAAACACAAACATGAGGGGTCTGGGAAATAAAGAAACTATAAGGAGGGCCCGTCGTCGGCAGAGTTCTTCGTGTCATTTCCCTTTGTTTGCTTGCCGACTCGGAAGGTTGGGCGCACGCTCCACTGTCGTTTCACTCACACTTACAGCGCAGAGCCTTTTCACTCGCAATTATTGACAGCATTGTTACGTTATCCCTTAAATTGCCGACGGGCCCTCCTTATATAATTGCTTCATGTGTCTTTTATATACTTTTCGGTATTTTTCGACGTCGAGTTAATTATTTTTTGTGGAATTATCGCACTGGTTCGCGCCATTTCATTCTTTTCCAGCACTGTGCACCATCGGCGTCAGCGGCTTCTCTTGCAAAATAATTTCTTCACGTTTTAATTGAATTCCAGCAGAGAAAACTAAATAAATTCAACATGTCGATGTTTTGGGGTAAGTTACAGCTTGTTGATTTAGGTGCAATAATTTCCAAAGACGTGGTGCCCGCGGATGGACGCATGGGCGTCCGGCGTTGTTGCGCCGGCCACGTGCTTGCGGCACGCCGGCAGCGTGGATCGCCACCATTTTAGAGACAAAATGTGTAACATGTTCTATATATCTTTTCGTGCACTAAAGGATTAGTAATGAAGCCTAACCGCAAGTACACCCAGACGATTGTAAAATCGTTCCACATTTCAAGTGCTGCTCTCGACAAGGGAGAGGAGGCCAAGCTGTATTTGACGGCCGACAAGCAAAAATACGTGGTCGCCACAATCCGCAAAGATAATCCACAAGTAACGCTAGACTTGAACTTTAGCAAAGGCGACCAAATCATGTTCCAAACAACAGGTAAGCTGAGTTTATTATTAAATACGTACTCTTGATGTGGCTACACACATTCATACAAATATTAATCTGTGTGTAACCTTTTCTTCTTGCATTGCAGGCGACGCCACTGTTTCACTGCTGGGCTACTTGCATGACGCTGAATCGGAAGATGAAGACGACGAGCAGTTTGATTTGAAGACTTTGTTGCAGGGCAAGGGCAAGGCTGGCAAGAACGGCCAGGAGGAGGAGGATGAAGATGAAGATGACGAAGACGACGATGATGAAGATGTTGACGACAGTCAGATTATCGAAGAGTACGAGTCGTTGCTGGAAAATGGCGATGAAGAGGAAGATGATGAGGAGGAGGACGAGGATGATGAGAGTGAGGGCGAAGAAGACTCTGACGACTCTATTGAAGAGGATGAGCAGCCCAAGCCCAAGGTTGCCAAGCTCTCACCCAAGGCCAATGAGAAGGCTGGAAAAGATCAGAACGGTGTGGCCAAAAAACAGCAGGAGAAGCAGGCAAAGAAGGAAAAGCCCGAGACCAAGAAGGAGCAGCCCAAGCCCAAGGAGCAGGACAAAAAGCCTTCCGGCGGCGAGCGCTCCATAGCCGGTGGTGTCAAAATTCTTGACCTTACCGTCGGTAAGGGCGCAGAAGCCCAGAAGGGAAAACGTGCCACCGTATATTACATTGGTCGCCTCCAGAGCAACAATAAGACCTTTGACAGCATGCTACAGGGCAAAGGTTTCCGATTCCGCCTGGGCGGTGGTGAAGTAATCAAGGGCTGGGACACTGGCGTCATTGGCATGAAGGTTGGCGGCAAGCGACGCATCACTTGCCCCCCGCACATGGCCTACGGTGCCCGTGGAGCTCCCCCAAATATTCCACCCAACTCGGTACTTGTCTTCGAAGTGGAGCTGAAGGGAGTGAACTAAAAATAAACATCATATTAGACTCTGTAATGTAGCATTTAAGGTAGTATTCCACACCGTAAAACTTTTGAGCATCAATTATGAAATGTACACTTTGTATTATGTTGTGTCGATATTTTCTCCTCGGACCTTGAAAATTTATGGTGGGGACACGCAAACTTCTCAA